GTAGTCAAAGTAGACGCCTAGGTATTTTATGTTAGTAGAACTCTGAAGCTTATAGTCACCAACCCTTACCGAGAAGGCATCATGATTTCTTTTCTTTTTGTCAATAAGCATATATTTGGTTTTCTCATAATTCAGAGAGAGTTTGTTAGCATGCAACCACAAATTCAATGTTTACTTTATTTTCAAGGTCTCTTAAGTTATGACTAGTCATAAATAGATTAGTGTCATCCGCAAACAGACGGGTATTGAAATTAGAAGCTAAAGGTAAGTCATTAACATAAATTTAAAAAAAGGAGAGGACCTAATGTTGAGCCCTGGTGGACACCACATTTCATACGAAGTAGATCTGAAGAAGAATCATTAATACAAACATACTGTTTGCGATTAGAGAGGTAACTATTCATAAGGTTAAGAGCTAATCCTCTTCCACCGTAGTGTTCAAGTTTGGTTAATGGGATATAGTATGTCGAACTGTATCGAATGCTTTTGATAGGTCAAGGAAAATTCCACGCGATATTTGGCCTTCATCCATTGATGTTAGAAGCGTATCATGAAGTTCTGAAATTGCTAGTGCGGTGGAGTGATTTTTTATAAATCCGAATTGAAAGGGTGAGAGTAGATGTTAGACCGATTTAGGAATTTATAAAGGCTATTGTATATTACTTTTTTTAATATTTTGGCAAATGGTGATAGAAGCTAGTGATATTGGGCGGTAATTTGAGGGTGTATTAGAACAATTTGCTTTGTAGATTGGTATTATTTTTGCAATTTTTAGTAGGGGGGCCTGCCGGTAAGTTAGAAAATTTACCAGATCTTATAGACAGTCATTATAGATATAACAGAGAATAGGGGGCTATCTGTAGTTTGGCGGGCTTTATGAATTTTATTGGAATATCGTCAGGTCCTAATGCTTTCTGTATATCGAAATTGTTTATTATATCTAGGATTTTATATCTATTTTAGATCTAGCGGGCGTCCGTGGCGCAGAGCAACCTTGCCCATTATGACAACATTCAGTAGTGCTAATTAGTAGATGTATCACTTTGCTCTTGTGGTCAATATTTTGTGTTTGACTGTACTGACTGACTGACTGACTCACAGTACTCACAGTTGTAACTCAGATGTTTCCTACGTCACGCTCCTCGGCGGTCATAGCAGGTTGTTGATGATTGACATCCGGTAGTCTAGTGATGATGTCCACCGAATTTCATTTCATTCGTATCTTCAATCGCTAACCTGTTTCTACAATGTTCTCTTGCTGCCTTGTTGTCTACAGAATTCTGTTTCTATCTTCAATCGCTCTTGCGTTTCTTCAATGTTGTCTTTCTTCAAGTTTTACTTCGATGATTTAGGAGGGCCGGTGTGTTGATATCTGCTGTTATGATGGATAGCACGCATATCACGGCACCTTCTCGGATACGCTTCTGCGATATTGAATATGATATTAGTGCGAGTGACAATATCTCACAAATGTAGCCAAACACAAGACAGACAATATAGGTGTTTGATCGTAGTCTCCTGGTTCCGCGTTCATTCCTGGAAAATGGTAAACGTCGCACTCCCTGCATCCTTGGTCTGATATCACAACATGATGGTACTACACGTATAGGATATTTTCAGATAATACGATTAAACGAGGAAACGGCGGGAAATCACCATGCCAGAGATGCCAGGTATTGGTCCCCAATACTACGTGATATTAGCTTCCAATTCCAATGCTGACATTCAAGTTTCATGTTTCACCTCAAGTTAGCATAGATTAGCAATATTTGGTTTGCCACCGTATAGTGTAATCTTGTACTGCTTCATTGCTGGTGAGAGCGTTACGCTTGAGTACACCTGCACGCGTGGACTAAGCTCGTCCACTATCGTCCAAGCTCGTCAACTATCGGCTGAAACTAATCAAAGAGTGCGGCAATTACCTCAAGCGCTATCTCTCTCTCTCTCTCTCTCTCTCTCTCTCTTTCTCTTTCTTTCTCTTTTTTTCTTTTC